CTGCCTGGAGAAATTCATCTGAAATTAAACTTCCCAGCAGGAACCGACGCGACTCTGCTTTGCCAGGACAGCAGGACACGGAGGCTGAGGAGATTTCAGGCAGAAAAGGAAGGATTTAGGTAAACGTGCGCTGCCAGACGAGTCAAATACTGGTTTGAATCACAAAGGGTCTGCCGAGCCTGGGGGATGCTGTGCTCACGGGGTCGGCGCTGCAGAAGACACCTGTTGCTCCGCTGGGAAAGCTTCACCCTGAATGCTGGCCGGACGCGGCGGTTGGAGAACGTAACGCCTCGCGCGGAATCCGCCACGAAACTGTTATAGAATCATAGAATCACAGACTGGTTTGGGTTGGAAGGGACCTCAAAGATCATCCAGTTCCAACCCCCCTGCCATGGGCAGGGACACCCTCCACTACACCAGGTTGCCTCCACTACACCATTTGCGTGTTTGGAAAATTCTGTTTTCCTCTTGATTGGCTTCCAAGCAAGAGGGCTTTCGAGGTTTATTTTTTTCAAAGGGTGCTCAGCCCCCCTCGGGCAGGGTGTAACATTAACCCCTTGTTTGAATCCGTCGCAGCGGCCGGCGGGGGGCTCAGACTCGGCTGGAATAACCGACGTCAAAAACGCGTCGGGTTCGTGATTCCACCCACAGACCAGAAAAGGCCAAACTTGTGTTATTTTTGAATCCTCTGTGTTTTTTTTTTTAAGGGCTGGTGGAAATAAGATATCTTGCTTCTGACTTCCAAGCAATAAAAAGAGGTGAATCACTACTGAAAAAAAAAAAACAACAACCTCCCATGGACCACCCAGTTGCTCCCAACGAAGCTGTAAAAGGAGCCTCGGCAGAAGTGGCAAAGCACAGAACTGTTTTCTTAATATTCCTGCAATTGCACGCGTCAAATCACGTCGGAAAAGGATCAGGGTTGCCTAACAAAGCAGCCAAGTGAGAGGTGTGTTAATGACTACAGGCTGATTAATATGCATGGACCTAAATCACATTCGGGTCAAAAAGGGAGCTCCAACCCTCGAGTACAACATGGTATGTTCAAGGACCTAACATGAGTATGTAATTCAGATTTAAATAGCTTTTTCCCCTCAATTCTGGATAATTATCCAACTCAGGATAAATAAGTAATTATTTTTTTCATTAAATGATAGTTAGGACTTTCGTTCCTTACTGGAATTGGTCAGATCTCTCTTTTTTTTTTTTAGGGTTATGCAACTCTGTTACCAAAGAGTCCTGCTGGGGTTTTGGAAATCGTAACTCACAAATCACTGTATTTTGAAAAATGGTGCCAATCATATAAAATACGAAATTACATGGTTTTAACATTTATTTGTTTTTGTTTTTAATGAGAAAACATATGTCTTTTAAACAGAACACTGGCTGACAGTCCTCAGACTGACATTGTGCATGTGTTACTGATGTTTGCATTGTGGGGTAGTATTTTGGGAGACCACCTCTCATTTTGGAGCGGGAGAGCAAGCAGCCAGCGAGGCTGTTTCAGGGCAGGAGAGGGCACGTTGCATGGGGGCACTCCAGGATAAACCATAGGGAAACTCCAGGGACCAGCGTTTGGGCACGCAGGTATTCCAGGGGGGAACTTGTAATTAAGAAATTCGGTTTGTAATTGGGAGATTCGAGTCCTATTTCAGGTTCTGCTGCAAGACTCCTTATGTGATCCGGAGTGAGTTCCTTTAAGGTGATGTCCCCAGAGAGCGTTGCTGAAATAAGAACTAGATGCCAAAGTTCTTCTGCTCTCTGCCTCTAACACAGCTGTAATACATCCTAATTTTGATCTAACTTTGTCTGATATGTTTAGATTTAGGAGTTTTTTTTCAAGACAGGAACTGTCCTCTTACCAGCTGTTTTGGCAAGTCCAAGCTAAACGGGTCCACGTTGCAGTCGGAGCCTCCTCGGGTTACGTGAGTGTAACAAAACCCCAATAACAAACACCCAGGTAATGCCCAAAATCCCTTGAAAACAAATTGAGTGTGCTGCATGTGAAGTGAGGCGGGGGGCTCGTTTCCTTGTCCCCAGCCGCATGGTTGGCACTGCATGGAGACCTCTGAGCAAGGTCAAGAGACACCTTTCTGAAAGCCAAGAGCAGCATGAAGGAGCACGTAAAAAAATGTATTTCAGCTTTCCCAGATATCCCAGGATTTAGGCAAAGACCTGCTTTGTTATGTGGTCATGTTTTACTGTGATAGTGGCTACGTGATACGTTACACCGTGGGGTTGATATCTGCTCGTACCTGTCTGAGCTTTCATGGTGCTGGCCAGAGGAGGAGAACCTGCAAGGTTCACTAAGATTTCCTCTTTGCTTGGGATGAAGCTTTTTGGTGTTTGTTGTGGAGTTTTTGCGTATATTGGAGAAGGCTGACCCAAAGGCGTGTTTTGCCGCGGGAGTGGGAAGTTTATGATGGTCTCCAGCTCCCAAGGAGTTTTCTTGTGTTTGACTTGAGTCAGCTCTCAAAGGCAGCTGAGTTTCCCCCAGAGACCCGCTGTCTCCAGGTGCAACATGGGCAACGGAGAACTTCATCTGTGCCTCTTGGGTCTCTGGTTAGTCCTTCAGCCTCTGCATCTCCTCAGGGTTTCTGAAAGCTTCGTTGCTTGTTCATTGAAAGGAGGAGACCAGTGAGGGGGCCGAGGTTAATTTGGCAGGATTGTGGTCCACACTGCAGATCCTCCGCCTGCGGTGGGATGCTGGGGGTGTCGTGGGTTCATGGGTTTGGTCTTGCACCATCTTGAAAGTCTTCCTTGGCCACAGGCACTAAAACTTGTGAGTAAACAGTTCACAGGAGGATAGAGTTTATCTGTGTGGATGGAGAAGTGTCCTTTAAATAAAAGAATAGTGGTGCCAATCAAGGTCACAGCTTCCAACCCAGCTGGAAGGTGGGGGAAGTTCTCATTAGCTGGTCTGAAGGCTGAAAAATAAATGACTTTGTTACATCAGGGCATTATTTTTCAACGTGTAATACATTAAGTCAGCTTCATAACTTTCATTTTTTATGGATAAGATGGTGAGACTACTTTCTTCTCTTCCCTTTTTTCCTCCTCTTTTGTTTTAACATGTCTGAGGAACAGCTAGTTAATCAGGGCTAAATCCTAAATAATCTGACTAATGGGACAAGAATCCACATCAGCCTCAAATAGTCCCGAGCAGGCGTCAGCTGCTTTTCTCTTCTTGTCCCTTATATCGTGTTACGCCAACGCGCTCAGTCGCTCCTGACACGTTCCTCGGTGGCCACCAGGATGGCTGGGCAGCCCCGGCGAAACCCGACATGTCTTCACGGCCACCAACCTGGTGTTGGCTTCGCTCGACGCATCGTTTTGCTGACACCAGAGCGAGTTCATGACGTCCGTTCTGCATCCGGTGCAAGTCCCGGTGCCAGCAAGGTTGACCTGGCAGCAGTCCTGGCTCGGATGAAACATGGAGCAATTACAGGCTTTGGCTGGTTTTGGTTGAAACCCCCGTTGTGTGTGAAGGCAAAGCAATGAATTTTTGAGTCTGTCCGTTCTCAGCACCCTCAGTGGTGTCAGGGCAGCCTGAGCTCCTGCCTTCCAAGGGTTAACGGGCAGGTGGGATGACGTTGGGCTGTACGACACGCGGGATGACCCACCATGGGGTAGGAGCAGAGACGTCTGTGTGGTGCTGGGAACTGCCTGTGTGTAGAGGGACTGTGTGGGTGGGTTGGCAAGCACGAACGTGCCACCTCAGTGGAGAAGATAAATGTGGCATTAAGAGACAGCGGGAGGGGTAGGTCTGGTTGAGCATGAGAAACCTTAACATCGCCGTGCACGTTCCTGGCGAGACCCGCCTGATGCCCTCCGTACGGTCCTTGTCAGCACCTAGAAAGACTGATGGAGCCTTGCTGGGGTTGAGGGCATGGCTGCTGGGATAAATGGGCAGGGAGGGCCTCTGGGAGAGGAGAGCGGAGCGGTTTGGCGTGCTTGAAAGTGTAAAAGCGGAGAAGGGATGTAACTGCACAAATAAACGAGCCGAGTCTGTGAACAGGTGAAATACTGGCTTAGAAAAAAATAAGTATAGACTGGGCTTGAATAAATTTAGGCTGGAAAAATAGAAATTAAAACCAAAAAGTAGAAATTGCTCTGTGTGTTTGGGTTGATATGAAGCTCTAACGAAAGGCGCTGGTGGGGGTTGGCGTGTGCCTTGGGCAGGGGTTTACCTGCCCCTTCCCCGTGGTTGACGTGGGAACGTGGCGAGGAGGTGACATCTTACAGCTGCAAAACGAGGCCGTGGGCTGTGAAGATGCGATTCATGGCCGATGCTCAATGGGCAGTGCCCAAAGACGACCGCTTGATGCTCGTTAGGACTTGCTGGAGAATGACAAGAAGGTTCCTCGTATTTTTCAAGTCATTGTAAGAGCAAGACAAAAAATAACGTGTGCCTGCAAAAAGCCTTTCCCAATGTGTACAGATCTTGATGGAGACATCTCCAAAGCTTCATAGATTTTTTCCACTTTCTCTGCCTTTCACTTGCAAGACATTCTCCTAAATGGCCAATAAAAGCTAAAATTAAAAAAAAAAAAAAAAAAGAAGCGCCTCTTAAAAAATGCACACTTCTATATTTAATGCTACTCTTTAATTAGAAGTTCCAGTATTTCATCCTGAAGGGTTTCAGGAACGCTGCTCCCGCTGATACATCGGTGTAAGCAGGAAGTGGACGATTCCCTTGGGGCCAAACCGCTCCGCCGGCGCCGGGAGCACGATGGAAATGGAGTCACACTCTACCCTGGCTGGTCCTTCTCCTGCTGACAGCAGGGGCAGAGCCCGGCCGGGGGGGGGACATTTGGGTGGTAGCCTGGACAGGGAGGGAAAGGTTTGCCATCACTGTTGCAATCATGGAACATCAGCAAACCACGTGCTGGGGTGCGGAAGTGCCACCCAACATGTGCTTCATCACACTTCTCTGTCGTCGTTTGAGAAGATGCCAAAACGCTGGAGTTAACCCCTCCGCTGCCTCCTTTCCCCTTCAGGTTCTTCTGATCATAAGTGGGAACTTGAGTTTCCTCAACTGGCTGACCATCGTGCCCAGCATCGCCTGCTTCGACGACGCCAGCCTGGGCTTCCTCTTCAGCTCCAGGCGAGGAGGGGTGAAGGAGCGGGTGGCACAGATGCAGCTCAAAGAGGCAACCAGGGAGCAGCTTCCCCTGGGTGAGTTATTCCCAGAGCTGGGGGTAAAGTTGCACAGGGGGGTGTTGGGTTTGTGCTTCTCTCAAGAGCTGTCATCTCCTTCTGGGGCAAACCTGTGTGTGCAGGGAGGGGGCTCTGCCCCTGCGTGGGCTCCTCGGTGGGCTGGAGGGTGCCCAGACCTCATGGTGTGGACGGCGGGTGCGGAGCCAGGGGCTGGTGGGGTTGGTGCCGCGGGGGTCGGTGCTGTGCAGCTCTGGCACCTCTGCTCCTGAGAGCCAGTCCTCCTTGCTGTCACTCCTTCAGACACCAACCCTAAACAAGCAATGTGGAGTTGCACAATTTATCTTGTGATTTTTATTTTTTTTTACCTTATTTTTCTTAATTTTGACTATTTAAAGTCAAGGACAAAATACCCAGCGCAGCTTTGAGGTGAGGATTTTGTGTTAGAAGTTGGGTGCGGAAGCAGCTCTCGTGTTTGCTCTCCTCTCTCCCCCGTGGCATGGTGGCCCCATGACCCTCCTGCCCTTTGCTCCCACGGGTGCTAGAGCTGCACGAGCACCCTGCTTCCCTGCTGAAGGAGCTGAACATGAGGTTGGTCTTCCAGAAGGAACCAAATCGATTGTTGATCCGTTGTGGGTCCAACAACTCCTTCGCTAACTGGGAAGGAGCCCCAGCTGCTGGGAAAGTGGCCATTCCCCGTTCAGTGTCCTGCTTGGAGAAGGCGAGAGGAGCAGATCCTCGTGGCCACCACAGGCAGCGTGGGCACTGCCATGGCAGGGGGGGAGTTCCCCGAAGCAGGGAGAGAGTGAACTCGTGTTCGTCCTGTGAATATGGAAAAGCAAATTCAAGGAGTTTTGTAACAGACCGAAAGGGATGGATGTGGCTGATGTTTCCTTCTGGAGGGAGTTTCCAAGCAGCCCTGTTCCAGAAGATCGCCTGCACAAGCAGCACTGGGATATTTTTCGTGGGGCTGCGTAGCAGATGTAGGGTTGTGTTTGTAGTGTTTTCATAAACCGCATGTAAGCAGCAAATTGCTTATAATATCAACACCAATCACAGGTGCTCATTTTTAAATATACTAAACATCTGTCCGAAGAACGAAAAATGTCAATAAGGTCTGTCTCTAGTCCCTTCTCATCTACCAAGAACCAGCTTGTTAACCATAAGCATCGGTTCCAGCAAGGCTGATGTCGTTTCATTAAAGTTTTCTGTGTCTCCTACGTTACATATTTTGCTGGAAGATATCTTGAACAGCTTTTGCCCTCTGGTAGCTTTGCTTTAGAGGCTACGAGAGCCAAGAGCTTTCCTACCGACTGTATTTTTGCACCCAGTCCCAAACAACACTCAAGTTGCACCTTTCTTTCCGGAGGAGAAGCCAAAGGGCACCTCTTTGCTGTGTCACTCGGTGAGTCACCGTGAGGAGGAGGTAGATCCTTTTTTTGAGGAACTTGCTCCTTTTCTGTGCTGTTCTCCAGAAAACCTTGCTGAGCCAGGGGGCCCCAAGCAAGGAGAGCCAGGTGGATATGTCCCTGTTCTGGGCTTTTAGAAAAGGGGTAGTCCATAAGTTAAGGGTAGGGTATCCATAGTATTCTGGGTGAATTGGGATTTCTGCATATTTGTTGTGCTGGGACTGTGGGCTGTGGGGCAAGAGGCTTAGAGGAGCCCTCCCCCCGGGTCACCAGAGCAGAAGACAGAAGGGTACCCAGCCATGCTCGTGTCCCGTGCTCCTTCCCCAAGTCTTGCTCCATCCTTACCATGGTTTTGGGATTTTTTTATCTCTGTATCAAACCCTTTTTCTTCTATGACCGAGTAGCTATGACCCAAGGTCATGATGACAGTCACCACCTGTGGAAGGACGAGCAGTCCATGCGTGGCCATAAACTGTGACCTGTGGAGCTGCTGGTGCGGCGGAGGGCTCTGTGTCCAAACCTGCTCTTGAATCACAGGCGGGGAAATTCAGCCCATCTACAAGACACAAAAAAATGCCCAACAGGCTCCCACTGCTCGCAGCAGCGCGGGGGTCAAGGGGAGGCATCTTGGCGAGCTCCTTCCCAAATCCAATGGTTCTCCAGAAATGTTCTCAGACTAAACAATTATTAATAGCTTCTGAGAGAGGCTCAAATAAACATCCCTCTCCTGCAGAGATAAGGGGAAGGCTGCATGTGATGGCTTTGAATCTGATCCTTTGGCTGTTGATGTTAAACAAATTTAAAAGGGCCATAAGGGGAGGAACCCCGGCGAGGTCACAGCTGCTCATTTGTCCCATTGCAGTCGGTGTCTCCTTAGACTGGAATCCAGCACAGCCCTGCGCTGCTCCTGCAAACCGGATACCAAAGCGCCGGTGGAGCAACACACGTCCCAAACGATAAGCAATATTGATTTGCAAAAGGAAAACGAGGTTTGAACGGAGCTAGTGAGCGAGAGGGAGGGAAATGCAAGAAATAACTCTGGGCAACGAGAGCCCAGGGCAGCGGGGGGAGACAAGGGCAGGCACGGAGCCCCGGGGAGCTGGAGACACTCCACGCCTGGCTTACAAACCAGGAGGGCAATTTTGAGCAAGGTGCAAGTGCCAGCTGCGTTTTTTCCCCTGTATTAAAGCAATGATTAATCTTACATTTTCGACATTTTTCTTTTTAGCCCTTTCTCAGACTATTTAGAGAAAGGCAGATCTCGGGAGCGATAGCGTGTGGCCCTTGGCAAGGTCGGGTTGATTACGGCGGAGCGTTTGTCAGCCCCAGCCCGAGAGCAGCTGTGAACACCCGGGCAGGGTCCCGGCTGCCGTGGGGGGGTCGGGGGGAGCAGAGCCCGTCGCTGACAGTGAAATCACCTTTTGTGTCTGCTTCTGTGTCCTGCACAGGCTGCTATGTCCGCAGAGTGGTGAACATCTCCTTTGGCCTCCTGATTGCTTATCTCAGCATCCCGGTTGTCCTCAACCTGCTCAACTCCAGACAAGTCATGAACACCTCCTTCAACCCTCTCAGGATAGTGAACACCTACGGAGCTTTCGGGAGGTATGCATGTTCTAATGGCTCATCGTACAGTTCTGCTCCCCTCTCCAGTATAGAATCATACAATTAGAGAATGGTTAGGGTTGGAAGGGACCTTCAAGATCATCTAGTTCCAACCCCCCTGCCATGGGCAGGGACACCCTCCACTACACCAGGTTGCTCAAAGCCTCATCCAACCTGGCCTGGAACACTTTCAGGGATGGGGCAGCCACAGCTTCTCTGGGCAACCTGTTCCAGTGCCTCACCACGCTCTGAGTGAACAATTTCTTCCTTAGATCTAATCTAAATCTCCCCTCTGTCAGTTTAAAGCCATTGTCCCTTGTCCTGTCACTAGACACCCTTGTCCAAAGCCCCTCTCCAGCTTTCCTGTAGCCCCTTTAAGTACTGGAAGGCTACTGGAAGATCATCCTGGAGCCTTCTCTTCCCCAGGCTGAACAGCCCCAACTCTCTCAGCCTGTCTCCATAGCAGAGGTGCTATAGCCAGTCTCCGTGCCTTAAACCTAAACAGAAATCCTTCCAGTAGGCTTGGAATATATGTTTATGAGAGAGAAGGAGAAACAGAGCAGGTTTCTTTCCCACTGAATTATAATTTATGGAATATCTGTTTATGAGGGAGAAGGAGAAAAGGAGCAGGTTTCTTTCCCACTGAACTGTAATTTATTTTCTTTGAGCCACTTTTAGTTAGCTCATTATGTTGATGTAGCAAATGTAATAGCAGGGTGAAAATACCCGAAAAAGAGTTCATCCAGTGGATAGTCTTCACCACCACCAGCCCTCTGTATTTACGGTGAACTTCTCTTCCTCTGCGCGCGTCTGCTCTCCCTCACGTAAATATTCACATGAGCTATTGGGTAGCAGATTTTGGGCCAACAAAAGGAAGTGCTGCATCCAACGAGTGACTTGGGGAATTCATTGCTACAGGAAACTGTGGAGACGAAAGTATAAATGGCCTCCAAAAAAGAACAAGACAGGTTGAGAGGATGGGCCCAGCAGCAGCCTGGCTGCTGCCCTCGACTCAGGAAATCCTGCTTATGGCTGCGAGGTGGGACTGGACAGGGGAAGCATCTCCAGCTGCGTTTGAAACTGGGATGTTTTTCATGCATCTGAGTCTGTGTTTTCTGGGAACGGGTCTATACGTTCCTGTGTGCCAGTCCTTCCAGCACCTTCCAACTGTGAAAATGCTGAAAAATGGCTTAATCACTGTCCCAGGGGCAACAACGGGGCTGGTCTTCTCTGCGTGAACCTCTGGCTTGGCCACCACCTCGCCATGGTGGCCTTGGGGTGTTGCCCAGAGGTCTGAGCCGAGGGGTGGGATGGGCAGCTCTGGGGTTAGTGGGCTCTGGACAAGGTCCCACAGGAGAAGCCAACAATGATTAAATATGTTTTGTAAAAGGTGAAGCAGGTTGGCTGTTGAGGGGGTTGGCTGAGCAGGTGGGCAAGGGGGGCAGAGGGTCTCACTGTGAGCGGTGGAGATGCAGAGGACACCTGAAGCGCATCAAATTAATTTGCTGTTTTCCCTGTTTTTTCAAATAGCAGAAATTTCTGTGGAAAGAAAAAAAAATTAGAAAAAAAAAAACCTGATTAGAAGTATCAACACTAGAAAAGTTGTGAAAAATGCTGAAGTTTCTCCTTTTCTTGGAGAGAGGGAGAAATAATCCCTAAACCTCTTTGAAGGCTGGAGCGGTGAAGCTACGGGAGATTGTTTTCTTTGGGTTGTTGTTCTTTTTCTTCTTCAGTCTATGGTTTCTTTTTCAACAGTTACCAGAACCTAAAGAGCGTGTGATGAAATGCTACTGTAATATGTTTGTAATTCCAGCCTGTGTAAACCAATAAAAAGAGGATTGCAGCTTATAATGAATATACGATTATGTGAAACCTGACATATTTTGAATCACACAGTAGGAACATACTTTTATTAGTAATTTGGTGTCCCTGATTTACAGTGTGTTTCTAACCATTGGGCAGCTGGCCACGGCTCATAACTCAGCCCAGCGAATAATATGGAACTTGGCTGGAGAATCCAGAAATCTATTAAATGTAGGTAACAATTATAAGCGGAGACGTGCAGCATTCCTTGGGTTGTAAGCATCTGCCACTGGAAGCCATTGGGGGAGAAGGTGAAGGTTGTGTGTCTCCAAACTTTCAGTTTCTTGGGTTGGAAGAGGAGAGACCGAAGTAGTAAAAAATTAAAAGGGTGTTGGGAGCTGGACGACTTTGATAGGCAGAGTTACGCAGTTCTGTGTTCGTTATGGAAAACAGCTCTCCGGCGTAGGCGAGCGTCACTGGCAGGTCATTGAGAACTTGACGATGGTGTTTTCACATGGGCTTTGTGTGGCCTGGAGAGTTTGCCATCCCCACAGCTCTACCACCTTGCTGTGCAGAGAGAGTCCAGCCAAGCAGCAAAGGCTTCCATGACCTGCCGTAAAGCTGGGGTGCTTTTTAACCAAGTTTCTGCACATCAGTGGGGCACGGGGGGCTTTTTTGTTTTCATTTTCTGCTTTTCTTGGCTTGGTTTGCATTGGCTCACGCATTCCCTCACGCATTCCCTCCTCCTCTTGCTGAGCAATAGCTCCGTGAGATCCGTCTTCCCACCGGGATGGTAAAATGTTTGGGCACGTAGAGAGAGCTGGTAATGGTGCCCCAAGAGTCATCTCCTGGGGCTGCTCTGTAGGGGCCCAACCACCTCACCGGGGCTCAGGCAGCTGTAGCCACTTAACCTGGGCTCATGGCAAGCATGTCCTGCCCTTTGCCGTGGCCAAGGCTCAAGCTGGAGCTCAGCACCCGGTGGCCAGCGGCGCTGCGGGGAGAGCCAGGCTCGCGATGGGGATGCTGGAGTGGTCCCTGCTGGGAGCTGCTCTGCTGATCCCACCACTGGAGATGTCAGGGCCAGACCCTCGGAATGCGGAGGCAGGATTTCTGTGTGCAATTCCCGGTGAAACTTCCCCTGCAGATACCGTTGGTGGCCGTGCGTTAGGGCAGCCACTCGTGCCAGTATTTTTGCACGTGGCATGTGCTATAAACGTGGACATGGAGCTATGTTTTGTGACCATCTTTCATTTCCGTTTTCTCATATTGTCAGGAGCTCATAGTCAGAGAGCTCTTGTGTCAGGGGAGACATCGGAGTAACAGAAACAAAGGTCTTCTTCAGAAACAGGACACAGAGAGAAGTTGGTGCAGGTTGAAGATGCTCATGTGGGACTTGGGAGACACTCGTCATGTTCTCTGAGTGTCTTGCACAAGTGTCAGGCTCTAATCTAGAAAGACAGACCCATCAATTTCAGTAGGAATCAGATTTTTGGGCCATAGTCCCTCCTTGGACTGGCACAACTGCAGTGTGATAGAGGGGAGCATGGGAGGGTGTGGAAGGTGAAGTTTTCCATGTACTTTGCTGCTGGATAGACAGCTTCTCTGTAGCTCGACCCATCAGGATCCAACTGTACCACGAGTCCGTTGACTTGCGTTGCCACGCTGACTCTCATGAACTTGAGGCAAAAACCCAATATCATGTTGTGTCCCACAGCATTACCAAGGAGAGAACAGAAGTTGTCCTTCAGGGCACGTCCAGCCTCGATCCCAATGACCCCACTGCTGTCTGGGAGGAGTACGACTTCAAATGCAAGCCTGGGGACTTGAAGAGGAGGCCGTGCTTCATCACCCCCTACCACTACCGCCTGGACTGGCTGGTGTGGTTCGCTGCCTTCCAGGTACCTGCCTTTGGGTGTTCTGAGGCTCAGGTGTCCCTTGACCAGGAAAAACAATTTATATGGATTTACTGTGTGTTGGGGTGGCTGGGGGACTATTTGAAGCCCCAGCTAAGTTAATTATGTTAAAAAAAGAGGTTGTATTCCTAAAGGATCTCTGCTACTAGTGTAATGAAACTCTTGGAAATGTTATATGAGGCTTTTGAATTGTTTCTCAGCAATAACAAGAGTTAAAAAGATTAAGAAAGCCCCTGGGCTGCACCTGCCTGGCAAAGTGGTGGCACAGGGTGGGCAGAAGCTGCTTCACAGGGTGCCCGGGATGCACCAGGGCTGGCAGCATCACCCTGCTCAACCCACATCCCTGCAGGGCACACCCCTGGGGACACCGGCGGGGGGTTTTATGCTGCCCACCTGCCTACTTGTGGACATAGGGTCCCTCAAAATATTTTGCCCACGTGGTATCAGCAAACAGGTGACAGCCATAAATGAAAAAAGAGAAGAGAGGGGGGAAACTTGTAAAATTAATTCTTGTGTATCTTTTAGCCTGTTCTGCAAAATCTTATTTGGGTGAGCATGAGGATTTGGATTGAGTTTTACAAAACTGGGGCTCACCAAGCCCATCTCAGGTTATCGTGGGCTTTCTCTTTGTTCCCATATCCTCTCCCGGTGTATCCTCTTCCCTCGCTCCTCTCCCGCTGCCCCAAACTTCTCTGTTTGCTTTCTCTGTGGTATTTTCATTTCGGCGCCTTTGGGATTCCTCAGCGATGACATAACCGTGGCTCCTTGGCTATGGTTTTATATTTACCCCGCGAGTTTCTGTGTGCTGGAATTTCATTTAATCTGCATTAGGTACGCTTATCCCTCCGCCAGACGACAGCAGAGGGTAAAACTCCGGTGCCCGGCGTTACGTAGAGGTGCAGAAGGTCCAAGGGGAGCTGGTGGTTTAAGTTGGAGGAGAAATCCAGCTCACCCCAGCGAAGGTTGTTTCTGAGATGGGAGAAAGGCTGTTGATTTCCAGAGCAGGGACATCCTGGAGGCTTTAAAATACAACGTGATCTCAGGTTTAAAACAAAAGGAGGACAGGGCAGAAACCCCGATGTGTCCGTCCCCTCCCCGCTGCGGCGGCACCGGCTGGAGATGAGGTTTGTTGCCTCTTCCCGGCCATCCCACCCCAGCGAAGGTTGTTTCTGAGATGGGAGAAAGGCTGTTGATTTCCAGAGCAGGGACATCCTGGAGGCTTTAAAATACAACGTGATCTCAGGTTTAAAACAAAAGGAGGACAGGGCAGAAACCCCGATGTGTCCGTCCCCTCCCCGCTGCGGCGGCACCGGCTGGAGATGAGGTTTGTTGCCTCTTCCCGGCCATCCCAGCGTGTGCGTCCCGTGCCCGCTGCAGCTCTCCCTCGTCCCCTCCTGCTGCTGGGGACTTCCCCATGGTCCCCCTGGTGCACACAGGTCTCCGTGAAGCTATTTTAGATCAGGAGAAGTCGCCAGCGTTCGGGTGTTGTTCGGACTGGAGTCACGCAGAGCTGCAGGAAGGATGAGAAACCAGAAGTCGAAGCCCCAGAAGAAATTTGTGGAGCCAGGCGAGTTTTGCAAACCCCATGCAGTAGTTTACGGAGTCCATAAAACCAAGTCACTTCAGCCTCTGGATTAGGTTTAATTTGTTT